GCTGACGAAGAGTATATTAATATATGAAACTTCGGGTTTGCAAAAATCATTAAATATAAATAATTTAGTATTTGCGAGACTTTGAGATCAGCGATTTATTTTTCGATAAAAAATGAACTAAAATATTATAATATAAATAAATAAATATTTGTGAGACTTCAGATTCAACTTTTTTAATTATCTATAAAGTATGAATAAGAATAGTTTAATATAAATAATTATTTTTCTTACCTTTTGAAATAAGAAAGAAAAATAAAATTTTCTTCTCAGTTGACAGAGTCTCTTACTGATAACGTTTTATAAATATAAAACAAATATAGAGGAAGAAATATAAAACAAAGATGAGAATGAATGAGAATAAGAGAGAGAAATTTTTTATTATTTTTTTTTTGTTCGGTGTTAAACTCAACACAAACCATGCATATTTATAGGCAAATCTTCACTCACCTTACTGTTATTTTCCTCTATCGTTCACCGTCCACGCCTATACCCACACGTTCTATACAATTTATTTCTTCCCACATCAGTAAGCCTATATAATTGGTGCAAAGTCATTAATACATGAACCCCGCATGTACTATTACAACATTTATTATAATTTTACACCATTTTATAGTCTACTTACATTTCAAAACAGAATTCCCACAACTATCTAGTACTTTCGGTTCTCCCTTCAGTATTGATATCATGATAGTGATATTTTGAAACAAAAGTAGACTATAATAATATAAAATTGACGTGTACATAGAATGTTTACTATTCAATATCAGAGTTTTGGAAAATATTTGTTCACATATGGAAGAGATAATACATCATGGACTGTGTTTGCTTAAACTTACTAGAAAGATTTGTTGTCTCTTCCTCTTTCAGAATGCAAATCGAGGTTAATTACAATAAATGAAATTGAATTGAATCATTTTTTGCATGAAGTTGGGTAACATGGTGGTGGTGTGAATAATTTTTGCATGAAGTTGGCTAAGTGATGTGAGTTGCGTTTTTTAACATTAGTGTCGATTATAAGACCTCACACTAAGACCTCACACTAAAGGAGTTAAGAAACTATGCTACTTAATTGGAAGATACCATTCAAAATTTTGAAATTTGGGATGTTGGAGGAAATTAAAATAGGAATTTTTCGTAACTTCAATTGTTTGATAGCGTTATACTGGTATGATTGGGTTATCACATTTTAGATACGTCCTGCATTCCCTCTTTAGGCATTTTATACATTTTCAGTTAACAAAAAAAAGCATGTATAAGGATTATATGCATTCCCTCCTTAGGAATTGCATTTTCGTTAACAAAAAAAAGCATGTAGTAGGGTTATATACATCCAAATGATAATCTTACGTTTAGTTTTTCGTAATATAAAAAGAGAAAAATTATGTTATTATAAATATAAAAATCAAATATGTTTAATAATTAATAATAATAAAATAATCTCAAAACTATTGGAATTATTATTTTATGTTAAAATAAATTAAATTAAAAATCTGAATTGATAAAATGAAATCACCGGCTATCTTGTAAAAGCGTGATTGATTACAAGATGTATGTGATAAAGGAATATAATAGGGTTATGATAAATCTATCTCATTCTCACATTATAAACCCTCTTCATCAAAGATCGCAAAAAATAATAATAAAAAAAAAATAAAAAATTTAGAACAGAGTGTGTCCCTGTTTCGGTCCTTTCGGATAGGACTAATATTTTTAGATACCCAAAATCACCCAAAAAAAACTACCGTAGTTTGTTCTTCTTGCACCACTTTACCCTAAATAAGCAAGACCTACCACCACCATGCAACATTCCTTTGATTTTACAGAGAATTCAATATTATAAGCCGCCAATAATGACAGAAAATAACAGATCAGCTCATTAATTCCATTCTTGCCATGGAAACACTTGCTTTCTTGATTTGATGTTTCATAAGATATCACAAGAGGAAAGTACATTAATCAAGCAAATCCGTGTTACATTCAAGAAATAATCCAAAGATTAGCCATGCCCACACACAGTTTAGCTTCTACCAGACAACTGGAATAGCCCTAATATAATTTTCAGCACCAACCACATCCCAGTTACACTATGTTACAACAAATTAGGTTGATACAACAATGATAATTTGCTGCTGCTGCTTCCTCTCAAAGATCTACAAATAAAGCAGAAGAGCTAGTGAAAGAGGAAAAAATCAATAGCAATGACAGAATAAAGAGATAAACATAAGAAATGAAACAACTAAAAAAAGCTTACACCAATAAAGTTTCACAAAACAGAGGTGGCTAAATTGTTAAAAGTATGCATACGCAAATAAATCAGAATACCCATAAAATTAGAAAAATAAAATAAAAAATAAAATAAAAATAAAAATAAAAATAAAATAAAAAAATTAATATTAGGGACGTCGTCTCTCATTCATAAGCCCTCAGGTTTTGAGTTAAAGTTGGTCATTACTCGGGAGAGTAACCTTTACCAATAAGAGAGTTGAAATATATAAATATTTCTATATTTCAACAAAGAGAACGGTCTTTTAGTTCAAACACTAACAGAAACCAAAGCTCATAATATATACAGTGAAGATGGTGCAATTACAATTACATCACTTGCATAATGGGTGTAATACAGCTTTAACTTTATAAATGAAAAAGATTTTCCCAGGAATAGGGTTGCAACAGCCTGAAAGATGAATGAATGAAATCAATGGATGCTAATACTATAAGTGGAAGACAATGCTTGGATGTCTTTCACTTTATCTTCATTCCACCTTCAAAAAATCCAGGACCCGCCTGTGAGAGAAGTTCTTTGCCAGCATCTTTCCCCATTAGAATCATATCTCAAAGGCAAATGGGTCTTTTCTGGAAGTTTTAAGTACTGAAACAAGGAGAAAAGGGAAAAGAATAGCATGTTAAAGAATTAGAGATCTTTATACAAACATAAGTTGTGACTTAATATCAATACATAAATCTTCCTCAAGTCACACAGCCACAGTTGTTTTACCTCGAGTTCAATCAGGAGACGCCACCAACCCTTTAAAAATGTAGTCTCCATCCTTGTCTCGACAAGCATATCCAGCAATTGGAGTGCGACATGAGCCATACCCATCTGGGATAATACCCTTTAGTGACTGACTAAGAACACTATGTACTCAATTTCTATACATATTGTCCTAAGATTAATTCAGTAATATGAAAACAAGTACTGTAAGAGCACAAAGCAAATGAAATTGTTCCAGAGGACACAATATGCAATTAGAGGAAGTGGATTTGTGTTTCTGTGATTATTATAATCATAAATCGAAAGATGATTGTAAAGAAGGAACTCAATTGAAGCTGATTGGAGACAGAAGATAGAGCTCAAAAATTTGAGACCCAAATGTTAACGTTGTAAGCTCGTAGTTGCACAAAATCAACCCATTTATTACGGGACAAGTTTGAATATGAATACAAAGAATAAGTATATTTATATATATATATAGATATAGATATAGATATAGATTGAGAGATAGATACATACTTGTCATTGATGAAGAATAATTCGTCCAAACAAACATTATCATCGTCTATTTCTTTCTTTTCCATCTATTCTCCTGCTTGGTGGGTTTGTTTCCTATGATTTTGTGTGTTGCCAAGGGCCCCGATCTTAAGACCCCACAATGCTAAAATGTAATAGGGTTTGTGTCGGAGGTTTGTATCCTGATGAGAGAGTGACAGAGTATATACAGACCCGGTGTTAGTCCACCTAATAGATTAAACTTTTTGGTCGGATTGCGAAACACTCATTCATTGCAGTTGGTATTGGAGATAGATCCAATTCTTGATTCGATGTCATACCATGCGCCCAGCTTAAAGATATCTTGGTCTATATCCCGGGTAGGTAGGTGGCCGGATCGCAACAAGGACGTTGCGTGAATTCGAGTGGGGGAGAATGTTTGAGGTTTGTCTAACATCGAATCCGGATAAAAGAATAATTAAGTGTATATAGATTGAGTGTTAGCCTAATAACTTAGACTTTTGAATCGAATCACAAAACATTTGTTTCCCGATCTTTAATGCTGCACATTTTCAGTATTCATATCATTAGTCTCTTCATGGATATTTTGAAACAGAAAAAAAATAAAAACTAATTGAATTATTTTCGCATGATGATGGCATGAATCATTTTTGCATGAAGTTGGATAACATGATGGTGATGTGACTTGTGTTATTTTGTAAGAGTGTTTGATTATAAGATTTGTTAGTTAAACAGTTTAGTATGGAAGATAGTATGATACTACTCAAAATTTTGAAATTTGAGATTTTGGAGAAAATTAAAATAGGAATGTTGAGTAATTTGAAGTATATTTCAATTCTTTTTAAGATTACCAAAATCAGGGTGTATAAGGATTATAAATTATACTTCCTCCATTTTGAGTCTCTTTGAATGTCATGACAAGTCCTTCCATTTTGAGTGTCTTTTAATATCATGGTAACACCCCATAAAGGTTACAACAATAAAATATTAACATCAGGTTTAGTTTTTTTTGTGAATGAATTAAAATTATAACAAAGATTTTAAAGAATGAGAAAGAGTTCTAAATTAAAATAATAATAATTATACTATTAAAAAAATTGTCTCAGGTCACCCATGTTCAAGTTCTCAAAAATTCTTTTTTTCCTTTTTTTGCCTGTGATAAAAGAACATCAAATTAAAAAAATTGTCTCAAGTCACAAATGTAAAGTTCTCAAAAATTCTTTTTTTTTTCTTTTTTTCCTGTGAGAAAAGAACATCAATCTAAAAAATACAAATTTATTTATTTATTATTTCTTTTTGATAACTGTGTGTGTCCATGTCCCTTCAGACCGCGGGACGAATCTTTTTAGATACCCACAATCACCCCCAAAAACGACCTTAGTTTGTTCTTCTTGCACCACTTTACCCTAAATAAGCGAGATCTACCAGCACTATGCAACATTCCTTTGATTTTACAGCAAATTCAACACTATAAGCCACACCAAGGACAGAAAATAAAGAGAGAAGCTCATTCCATTCTTGTCATGTAAACACTTTGCTTTCTTGATTTGATGGTTCTTAAGATCTCATAAGAGGAAAGTACATTCATCAAACAAATTCCTGTTACATTCAAGAAATGATCGAAAGATTCGCCATGGCCACACCCAGCTTAGCTTCTACCAGACAACTGGAATGGCCCTAATATAATTCTCAACTACAACTACATCTCACTTGCACTATGCTTCAACAAAGTTGACACAACAATGATATTGAACAAGGTTTTACACAAAACCACCCCCATTAAGTTATGGCTTCCGAGGTGGCAAACTACTGTTGCTGTTGCTGCTTCTTCCTCTCAAAGACCTACACATAAACCACCATTACGGTTATAAACAAAGGTAGAAAGGCTAGTAAAAGGGAAGGGATTTGGGGGGGGAGGAATCAATGATATGTAACTACGTCGACAGAAAACAAAGATAAACAAAAAAAGGACTAACATAATGCTAATAACGACCATGGAAAGAAAAAGAGGTGAACAAAACCAATTTGTCTCAACTGCCACAAAGCTTGCAACAATAAAGTTTCACAAAGCAGAGGGGTCTAAATTTTTAAAAAGTATGCAGATACAAATAAATCACAATACCCAGATTTATGTTTATACATATATTTATATTGGACAACGCGCCCTCAAGTTTGGAGTTAAAGTTGGTCATTATTTGGGAAAATAATGTGTGTAATACAGCTTTTAACTTTATAAATGAAAAAGATTTTCCCAGGAAAAGGGTTACAACAACCTGAAAGATGAATGAATGAAATCAATGGATGCTAATGCTGTAAGTGGAAGACAATGCCTGGATGTCTTTCACTTTAACTTCATTCCTCCTTCAAACAGTTCAACAATCAAAAAATCCTGGACCCGCCTGTGAGAGAAGTTCTTTGCCAGCATCTTTCCCCATTAGAATCATATCCTCAAAGGCATATGGGCCTTTTCTGGAAGTTTTAAGTACTGAAACAAGGAGAAAGGGAAAAGAATAGCATGTTAAAGAATTAGCGATCTTTATACAAACATAAGTTGCGAGTTAAAATCAATACATGAATCTTCCTCAAGTCACACAACCACAGTTGTTTTACCTCGAGTTCCATCAGGAGAGGCGACCAACCCTCTAAAAATGCAGTCTCCATCCTTGTCTCGACAAGCATATCCAGCAATTGGAGTGCGACATGAGCCATCCAATGTCAAAAGGAAAGCCCTCTCGCATGCAACTGCTAATCTAGTTTCCTCATGATTCAATGAGGCTATGAAATTAGCCTGCAACATAGAAACAAAAAACAAACAGGGAACACACCAGAAGTCAGAGCAAGATTTAGCAGAAACAAGTCCACAAAGAGTCGGGAAAAAAAAAAAATTGTACATGAGATGGGATTATTACACAGGTCAGGAGCCCTTCAGGGAACTTAGTCTTATCTAAAAGTTATCCAAAGAAGAAGAAAAAAAAATTGGAGAAAGAAAAGTAAAGCAGACACAGTGATGAAACACTAAAGTAACGGAAACTGGATAATGGAATGTCGGTCCCATATATCAGATTACGATAGAGCATGCAACCTGCAGGAACTCATAAAAATCAACAAAAGAAGAAGAGTTTATTATTATAGTAAATAAATAAGTTTTTCCCATGTGATGACAAGTTGTACTTCTGTCAATTTCTCTTAATAAAACCCCAAATCATTTAAGTAAAAAGTTATATATCACAACTGTAGACAAAGATATTCATCACGAGGAATAGAAGTAAACGGCAATCCCAATATAAAGTCTGATCAACTGTATCTGCTAATTTGTTCAAGACGATATTCTGGATAAATTTGAATTTAAATTTAAATGTACAGTTAACAAATTTACTTCACTCCCAGGGGAGAAAAGAAAAAGATTTTAAACTAGAGAGTTTTCTCTTGTGCAGACCACACACATGAAGATAGTAGGTTTACTAGGCAGCAGAGCATTTCCATTCCGCCTCTCATATTGCCATTCCCAATGCATATGATTCATAAAAAATCATGAAAAAAGGCCCATGAAAATGCAATAGAATCAAGATGAAAAAGAAAAAGTACTTGATTCGTCAATTTGTTTGACTTCAATTTGGCAATAACTGCAAAAAACTATAGTTTTCATCTACGGTTATATAGAGAGAATGCTATTGACAAAAAATGTGTGATGTGTCCAATATGGAAGCTCATGAGCGGCCTTAGTCTTTGAGCAGCATTGGTACATCACTATGGATCCCAAATCAAACATGCAGATTGCAGAATCAAACTAAAATAAATCATTTACACAGCTTGGGCACCACCACAGAACAAAACTTACATTCTTATCATCATCGGTTCGACAAGCAATCCCAATTGCCCCCTGAGCAACAGCTGGAAGCATTTCATCAATAGAAAGAATTGAAGTCACATTTTCAGTCATATTTAGGCGTCTGAGTCCGGCTAATGCCAATAATGTTGCTTGGACTACCCCTTCATTTAGTTTTCTTAACCTTGTCTGAACATTGCCTCGAAAGTTGTCCAGCACCTGTGCATGAAATCAACCAAACATGAGATATAAGATGGAACACAGAGCTAGCAGTGTTCCTGCCAATGTATCACCCTAATATTATTAAAAGTAAAAACAAAACAGAGCTAAAAAGGGCATGAAGAAAGAAAGCCATCTTTAATGAACAGAAAATGAAGAGCATTATACAATCTACATGCCCGCATCAGCAAGCTTGGTATCATTTACAATTGAAGCCTCTTTGATCAGTAGAATCTAGGGGCTATAAACCTTTCAAATCAACATAAACCTGCCCAGTAAGCACTAAAGACCCTAAATGCACTGGCATTTTGCGGAGTATTATTAAGCCATTTATCCCTCTACCAGAAACAACACAAGTTGGTCACTTTTCAATCTCAATCAACAGATGTTATACTCCCAAGGAAGGTCACAGATAAAAATTTACCGAAATTAGTGCATAAAATATCCAACTGCGACTAAAAAATAAAAAATAAAACACAAAATTATGAAAACTAGAACTACATTGTAGCAAATTGACTAGTCACACTCTGCAATACTAGATGATAACAAAGCACACTGCAAACTCCTCATGTTAGCCAGATTATAGAGGAAAAAGTTGTGTCATGTTATGCAAGAAACATGTAGGCTTGTGGTGTCAATCACTATTAAACTTCCCAGACACTTTACTGAAACTTAATGTAAGTTGAGGTTACATCAACCTTGAAAGAACCATTCAAGCTAACTCTCAATGCCTTTACCAACAACATAACAGGAACTGCAGAACATAAAAATCAATTCTCAGGCTGTTGCAATGACTGATTAAGAAAAAGTAACAGAATCCTTTCTTAAACTGAAATCATTATTATAACTGAGAATGTATTAGATCCAGATCCTAGCAAAATCATATCGTCATATTTAAAACAATATACTCACATTAAGAGATGAGTATCGATGAAGTAATTGTGACTTCCTCCTGAGTGAAGCAGTACCAACAGTGCTTCCTGATGGAAGATCTGCTAGCGAAGATGCACTCAAGGAAATAAAGGCATCCCGGACATCTTCGCGTGGAAGATTGCAAGGTAATATAGTTCCATCTGGCAAATAAGTAGGGACATCCTTCATTGAGTGGACGGCAATGTCAATTTCACCATTTAAAAGAGCCTCATCGATTTCTTTTGTAAATAAGCCCTTCCCTCCTATATCTGCAAGTGGTTGACTTAGTATTTTATCACCTGTTGTTTTTATTACAACGATTTGGATAGCCCCCTCTTCAGCCAACTCCGGATGTGTTGCCATGAGTTTGTCTCGAGTCTCGTAAGCCTGTGCAAGTGCTAGTGGGCTGTCCTAAACAAGAAATAAATACAGAACACCCTTAAGATTGAAGACATATCCAAATTATATGGCTTAAGCATTTGTTAGAAAATCATCTTTAACTGATCAAATGATATCAATTGTGAAATTTAGAGAACATGAAAAATCTATGCAGTATATATTGTCAATAAAAAGGTTTACACAAACCAAGTTCAGGGAGCTTGACTGCATGCGACCGAGGAATACTAGTGTTAGTTATGTCAGCTTAAGGAATAATTATATCGACGTCATGCATACGAGTTCATATTTATTTATGTAGCATGTAGTATTGTTTATTATAATTTAGTACATACACCAGTCGTTTTACGCTTCTATAACCATAAAAAGTATTATCTTCCATGACTCAAGCATCAATATATGATAATGAACAACAAAAGAAACAAAAAAAAAATAATCACTTCAATCTAACCAAGGTCGTGTTTGCCAGCTGAAAAGCAACAGGATTGATATGTCAACATTCACGAATGGACTATTATGGAAGAGCAACTAATCCCCATATCCACACTCATTCAACTTCAGTACGTTTGCATTCCTGATAACTCATGGGCAGGGATGGGTGATGCCTGCCGCGCGTGTAAGATCTGAGTCATTGTATAGTTTTAAATTGGTTTCTATTTCACTATTATTTTGTATAACAAATAACAGATAGGTGGATATTCACATGGCTAGCTTAATTAGGGATGTTTGCAGCTGGTCACTTTATATTATTAGTCTAATGATACGAAGGCAAACTAATAGCTTAAGAGATATCTATTGACCGACCACATGCACCTCTCTAATCATGTTTACCGATATCGATTTTAAAATTGCATATAAATATATATATATATATATATATATATATATATAGATGGCAATATGATTTTATTTTTTACATGCATTTCTTAATAAATATTTAATTACGTATTAATATTCTTTTAATTTCTATTGTTTATTATTTTGTTTATTTTCATGAAATTATTTATTTGAATGTATTTATAAGTCTATTATTTATTTGTATTTTTAAAACCAATTAATGAAAGACTATTCAATTGACACCATGAGGCAGCTGTTACATCATTTTGAGTTGTCCACTAATTACATAATTTACACGTACGTCTTCAATGGCTCTGAATTTTTCATTTTTCCATATGAATTAAAAGGGTCAGAAAAGGAACCACGACATTATTCCAATGATTCACATTTCAAGAGTTTTTTTATAAAAAAATTGCTTATATTACACTATCATTTGATACAGTTTTTGAACATGCTGAAGAGTTTCCAAATTTGATAAAACAATATTGGGCAAATAATTTTATATTGGAATTTTCAGTAAAACAATTTTAATTTACTATGCGATGTTCTTGAATATTACTTGTTTAAAATTCGTCACAGTATTTAAACATCTGCATTGCACATACATCTTAACTTGTATTTATGTATACATATGTGTGTGTGATGATAAAACTGTCATGATCATTGATAAGAAGGTTTTATCAATAACAATCCAATAACAAGAAAAGTGTGGGGACTTGAACCCTAACCTTCCACTTGGAAACTATTGGAGATATTAGTTGAACTAAGCTCTTACTCAATCAAATTAGACAACTCATTTTACATATATCCTTCAATTTGCATATAAATTCATTTAAATCAATGAATATATCAATTCAACAGATTAGCTAACTCAATGTACATATATCCTTTCAATTTGTATATAAATTCATTCAAATAAATGTAAAAATGAATTAATTCAAAATATGCAACAAATAACTAGTCCATTTTTTAAAAATAATAAAATGAACATTTTGGCATACTAACTTAGAGGGTTCAGTAATAATAGTCATTATTGTTGCAATGGTAAATTTTTACGAGCAGCTAATCTGTGCAAAATGATACCGAAGGCTTTGTTTTGTCTTAGACTCTTAGTTATAGATTAGCCATTGGGTAATGCATTCTAACTAAGAGGACTAAGTAATCAATATGCATATATCCTTCCAGTATGCTTACTCATAAGTCATAAACTAGATTAAATACTATATAAATGTGCAAAAGTAAAAAAAAAAAAAAATACAGAATAATCATGTAGTTCTTGAACATTTATTTAGCATTAAGAACTAGACACTTTATGTTTTTGGTAAGTAAATAAACTCGACGAGAAAATGGCTAGAACTATCAAAACCTAGACACATTTAATACAAATAATTAATCATGAGTTCAGAATTCTGCCATATACTCGATAAAATTTAATGATATGATCTTTTGAATATGATTGTGATATCATATAAAGAATGTCACAAACGGGCCAGTGGCCTAGCGGTATCAGTTTCTTACTTCCCAAATAGAGGTCAAGGGTTCAGGTCTCAGAAGAGACAAGTGTGTGTAAGTACCAATTAGGAAAAAATATATATATAAAGAATGTCAATTAACTGCCAGTAATAAAGAAAAAGTACCATTGAATAATTAAAAGCCACCAACCTGAAAGCTTTAAGTGTGCCTGACCTGTTGTAGGTTGTGGCACTCAAGCTGGGCCTCGAAAAAACTTGGGGCTTTTCTGGGGCCAGACACACCTTTAACAACTATAAATGGGACCCTAGACTTTATTTGTAGGTTGAGCCTCCATTCACCTAGCTTCATACATTGAGGATATAATAGATAGAAATCTAGATTTGGCGTCCGCGTTTATCAGATAGATTATATTTACACACACTTGTATATATCTAGGCTTGCAAAACAAATCTTTATGCTTTTGCTTGGATTTAAGCATCTATAAGCAATTATTGATTCCTTGCAAACTTTGGTCCTCATCAATTTCTTCAGGAGCTTTGGGATATACAAGCAAACATTTCCTTGCCACCACACAGACCTTCTTCTTCACAAGATGTCTATTATTTTAAATTGTCTACTTTGACTATATCTGCTTCATATTCTATCACGATTTGATGTTCACATCCTTCTGAACCAGCAGGATGTCACACGCTTAAAACAACTCAGTCTATACAGCTTCAACCTATCTAGATTTTGGTTCTTCTGAACATCCTATTGCCCAAACTTGTGACTATTCCCCTTCTACAGCATGCTGTCACCTCACCGTTTGCATTTGAGCTATTTTACCTGGAATCAGGGGTTTGTCCATCCCAATTTACAATGCAATTTGGAATTTTGTGTCCTTTGCTACTAGCTATAAAGCAAACTCATTATGGTTATAAACTCATCAATACCCCATTTATACATGCTTAAACGGTATCTTCATATGAACATACCTTTTCACCGTTTTATAGATCTGGATCTCTCATCATTTGACCGAATAAAGGACTGATCCTCATTCACATAAAAACCTAACATGTGGTAAATAGTAAAAGTCCTTCATCTAGGGTTTTAGGCTTTCCACCTATTCCTCTTAATGGCTAATATATTCTTTCCATCAAGAGTTTAATAATTAATACAATTCTTCACAAGGCTTGATGTTCAACCCAAACTTACCAGAGCTACCACCTTACATTTATTCCTTAAATCATGTTATTTTCAAATGAACAAGAAAAAGCATGGAAAAGTGGGAGTTGATGAACTCCAATTAAGTTTTATTATTAAGAGAGAAAGCCACAAAATTTTATCATACAATTTTCGAACTTCAAAAAGCTTTTTAGTTCCATATATAGGAAGCAAAAAATTGCTAAGTTACATAAGAGACATAAAATATTGACTCTCCAAAATTTGATATTCCATGTATTCTTCTCCAATTGACATGTGAGAACACTAGATTAATTACCAGACTTCTTCCTAAAATTCCCAAAGTATACTATTTAGTTCTTTCCCAATATGCAAATTCTGTAAATGAAACTAACTGCAATTATATTCCTTCTACTAAACTTCTGAAAATCCCATTTTAGTCCATAAGCACAATTTCATGTTAAAGGAATTTAGTGACCTTTATTAAAAATGCACCACCAATATTTGCTTTTCCTTTTTCCATCAATGTTATATTCCCCATTTTTTTGAACCAGACATAGAGAGAAACATTTATCCATAGATACAATTAGCCATAAGCTACAAAAACCAGAGCTTAAGAGTGAAGCAATACACACATACACAAACAGTAGAGAGTGGTGTATAAAACCGAATTATGAATAACCATAAAACACCCATTTGATCAATAATCATAAAAGAAAGAAGCTAAACAAAATCAAGGCAAAAATATCAAAATTCCCATCAAATCCAAGAACAAAGAAGATCAATGCCACATTGGACAAACAAAGCATAGCCAGAAAACGAAATTGGACAAAGAAGACACGGTACCTCCCTCTGGTGCCAATTCTTATGACAGCAACCTTCGTCTTCTGCGTCTCCTGTTCGACTGCAATTGAGGCCCTCGTGGTCAAAAATCTTCTGTAACGGTTGAGGCATGGAGTTTTTAGACATGGTAGAGAGAACCCAAGAGCAGAAACTGACCGGGTGTTAAAATTACTAGTAAGAATTCGCGAGTTAGCAGAAAGAACTGAATGGTTCAGAGCGACGGTGATCTCCATCGCAAAAGAATGGAGAGAGAGATGCAGAGAAGGGGCGGGAGAAATGGAGAGAGATAGAAATGCAGACAGAAATTCTGAGAGGGTTCTGATCTTGTTCTGGGGAGAAGATAGGGGATTGGGCACCGGGAGTGAATCCATCCGTTGGTTTTTGCTGCTGAATCCAGAGGCAACGGTCAAGATGTTGCCACGTCATCCGATAACGCAGATACCAAAAACGCTGTCGTTTCGTATTGTTTATGATTTAAAATGCCGTTGACACATTTAAACTGTGTGTGTACACTATTGTGGCCGCGACCACCGTGTTGATGGTGTTGGTTGGCTTTGGATGGGTCAGAATTCCGGAGATGTAGAACTCCTCCTCCTCCGGCACCGCCATCTCATTTTGTCATTTTGATCAAATCTTCCAAGCAAACCCATTGTTTACTAAGATGGATCTTTTTAATTGGGAGAGTTTGAAGAGGGTTGGTTTGTCGGCTGGCTGGTTAGAGGATTTCATTGAGAATTAATGCAAAAAAAGTCTGTAATTTGGAGGGTTTGAAGAGGGGTTGGTTGATTTTGATTGGGAGGTTTGAAAATTGGTTTGAGGTTTTTTTCTTGCCATGGATGGAAGAATGTGGGACAAAGAAGAAGCAATAGAAGGAAGAATTGGATTGGTTCAGCGAAGAAGAAGAAGAAGAAGAAGAAGAAGAAGATATATGGACCTGGGCTTGGGTTTTGTGGGTGGAGAAATTAAGGGAAATAAACATGCAAAAGATCTAATGGGGAGGCTACTGATTTTCAAAGCTTTTTTAATAGCCAATTGTGTAATTGACATGTGGCAGCTACTTTTTTTTCTTTTTCTTTTTTTTTCTTTTTTGCATAAATAAAAAATAAATAAATAAACATCTTGCATTGGGAGCTCCGTGGAGAAGGCAAGCTTTAGCACAACAGTAAAATTATTTCATTGTGGTCAAAAAATTGAAACGCAAAAACAGCTGTCTCTTTGCGTGCATCTATCTAATCGTCCTCAAACCATACAATGATGAGAGTCTCGTGACTCCTTTTTATTGGGGTGCATAATAGAGAGTTGAACTCGTAGCTATTTACTTTGGAAGATTGACTGATTGAGTATTTAAACAAAAAAAAAAAAGGAGGACAACATTTGATTCTTCATTTGCCTAGATGTCAAGTGACTCTAAAGATGTGGAAGGTTTTGTCTAATAAGGATTAATTTTCACTAAGCTTCTGTTCTTGAGTTGTTGAAGGCTGCTACTTGGTGATAGAGTTCAGTTTCTAATGCAAAAGCAGCAGAAGCTCTTGTTCTTCAACAAGCAATTCAAATGGCTACTTTGAAAGTGATTCAAATGTTGTGGTTTGATCTATTCAAGTCTATTTTTCTACTCCTCTTTGGATTTTAGTCATCGTTTATAAAAGAATTCCGTGTAAGGTGATATTTTTAATACTTTTTCTTTTGAGCAGGTATATCGACTCCATAACACATCCACCATTCAAGTTAGGAGTGCGGATAGAAAGCAAGACCTCAAAAACTTATCTTCTGAATCTCTGTTAATGCCGCTATGCTCATGGTGACGATATTTCTTATTCGTTGAGTATAAAATATGTATATTACATGAGTTTAAGAAACTATAAGTACTAGTGCAGAATTTTTTTACCACAGTTACAAGAATAATTTTAGCATATGTGGTTCAAAAATCAAGATAAAGTAAAGGCTGAATTTTGGGCAGCAATTTAAGTGTAACTGTAGCGTGATTTTAATATCAATCAAGGTTTGTAATATTTTTTAATATTGTCCATCTATAAAATTATACTATCGATCCCTTGAAAATACTAAAAATTACACTATTACCCCTCACACAATTCTTTGGATCCGTCCCCTGCTTGGAAATTACAGATTTTTCAGTCCAATTTACTCTAACAAATGCAAATGATGTTGCCCATGAGCTGAGCTTTTTATTTGTAATATTCTTGCGAATAGTATTGGTGTAACTTAGGTCACACACTTTGTTCTAGTCTTTCAATTTTCCTCTTGTGCAGGTCCAAAAAGTAACGGAAAGTATATACAGATAAAAGGGGAAGTACTAAAACTAGATATACATTACTAAACTCTCGTTTTTTTTCGGGAAAAAAATAAAAAACTTGCTTCAAAGTGATGCAATATTGTTCTTCCTATATAATAGGATGTGAAGAGAAGTTCTAATTCTTCTTTTCTTTTCTTTTCTTTTCTTTTTTGTATTACCAACAAAATTATTATTATTATTATTTATATGGAACAATTTAGGGCATACCCCCTTTAATTTCCAGCAAAGAACAAGAACATTAGCTAAAAACACATCAAAACACGCACGTCTGAATATATATATATATATATAAGCCCAATGAAACGCATCTATTAGATACACAAATGTAGGGTCCATATGATTTTTACTTTTTCTTGTTTTCTCTCTCTTATTGACAAGTGAAATTATCTCATTAATTTTTTCCTTATAATATCATTTGGGACTTTGGGAGGCCATATTCACACCTCTTTTTTTTTCTTTTCTTTTTTTATATAAATGTACTTCACTTTTAAATACAATGATATTAATTTCTTTCACTCTTACATAAGAGATTAAGTATTAATTTATTATTCATATTTTTTTCATTTTGATCTTAAAAAAAAAAAAAAAGAAAAAAATTAATAAGACAATTGAATTATCAAATAGGAGAGCGTGATTCTCACCTCCGTAGCATTTTCCATTGATAGCACAATCACGGAGGTTACAAGCCAAATTGCAGCTCAATCCACAGAGAATCAAGTTGATACAAGAAACACTCCAAAATTCTTGTTCTACTTTATTTTTTAAATTAAAATGTCAGGATTTAAGTCTCTATAAAAGTTTATACTGAGCAGGAAAAAAAAAAAAAAACCTTACACATTTATATATGTTCATTTACATAACCTAGCTATCTCATCAAAAATATATTACATACCGTCAACATTACACACAAAATAAACCTTCGATTTTTAATTTTCTTTTCTTTTCTTTTTTTTCGTTTCAAGTTTTCCATTTTAAATAGATAATGATGCTCTGCGAACAACCAAAATAAGTTGCATTTTGCATCCATATTTTTCAAGTTAATGATCATAAAAGAAGTATGTTAAGCACTCAATTTTCATTGGATTGAAAGAACAAAATGATCTACATGTTGCTACTCAGAAAACGAAATTCTAATATATGTGTCTCAAAAGAAAAAGGACCAATAAATATATTATATTAATGTAAATTTCTTATAGTTACCTTCGTATTAACGTGTAAAAATTCCAAAATATTCTATACTTTCTTAATTATAGAAATATATATTTAAATTAACTCTCTCTTCGTTTAGTGTTAGTGTAATGAATGAACGTTTATTTATTTATTCAAAAGCTCATGTTATTGGGAAGTGTTACATACCCACCTATTTATACACATTTCGACTCCTATTCAAATTCAACGTGGGACAAGTTTCACTTGTAACAATTAGTCACCATAAGGGAATAAAACCCACAATTAACTATCTTTCTTCTGTATTCCTCACCAATAAAGAATAGTACTCTCTAAATTATTTTTCTCCCTCTCTCTTGTTACTTTCTCTCTCTCTTTATGCTAAATCATCCCTCCCTCTCCGTCTCATTACTTTCTCCCTTTACTCTTTCTATACCAAAACATGCTCTTGACCCAAATCTGTTCTCCGACTAATTCAAATTTGTGTCTCCCTTTCTCTCTTATCTCACTCTATGTATACATATAAAGAGAAGACTAAAGATTAGATTAGGAGGACTGAAAAAGATTAGATTTTTAGATTAGGAGTTAAATAAGAATACAGATGGTTTTATAACCCAATGTAGTCCATAAAAAATGACTTACGATTAAATGACCCAAAGTAACATATGGAAAATGACTTACAGAAACTTTTTTGATAAATTATTTTCAGTCCTTGAAATCTTCTTAAACGCCGAAAATGAAAAAAATAAATTTAAAAGAAAATAATTTTTAAGATGCCAAAAGAAACAAACGCATGTGCATCAGGCTAAAACAAAAAACAAAAAAAACACTTGGTTTAGAAATTTGATTGTTTGGTTGGTCTTAAATAACAAATTTGGATGCTAAAATTGCCATCAACAACGTTGAACATTGAAGGTTGGTAGAATCAATTTTATTCAAAAAAAGATGTGAAAACTTATCGAAACTAAATAATATATATATATAGATATATATATATATATATAACATATAATCGTATATATTGTGGTTGAAGTTGTGTCATTCCTATTATGGCAAAAGAAAATATATAATCTCTGTGGCAATGTGTAGAACCATTCAAATGGTGGATGACGTGTCCTTATAACAAGTGGTCACGAGACTCGTGACAAGTAGTAAAGTGAACTATCCCAAACCAAATCAAATTTTAACCAATTCAAGTCAGGCCACAATATGCTAGAAAGAACCACTAGACACCAGGCACGTGTCCATATGACTTTCCACAAGTTATTTATTTATTTCTTTCTTGCTTTCTTTTTTATTTGACGAATTACGGGCCATCCATTTGAATCTTCAATCTTTTTTTTTTTTTTTTTTGAAAAATATATATTTCTGAATCACTTGATTGCGTTACCGATTTGAATTCTCTTATTTGATAATGGTATGATTAATATTTTGTATCGCCATATTAAAACATAGACCCAGTTTTTTTTTTTTTTTCTTCACGTAGCCAGTTTTTTTTATTTAAATATTTTTCTGTCTTCATATGTATATTAATTACTATATCATGATTTGCACCGACCGTGACGCGCTATTTGAAAAGGAAATAGTTGCCACTTTCACGAGTTGCTATATTTTAGTAGGAATTATAATTAATTTAATCACTTCGTTTTTTTTTTCCTTTTAAACACTTGGTTTAAAAACAATTTCTTTTCAAAAATTTTAATGTTGTTTACCCAATTGACGTACATAATGATTAATAATTGATATCTCCAATGCATTTCTCTATAAACTTGAAAAATGTAAAGATCAATTAGTAAAAAATGCTTTTAAAAAATAAATTGAAATGGTAATTATTTTCATCAAATTCTAATACTGATTCTTCTTTATTTCTTTTCCTCTTTTTTATTTTCAAACGTGAATATATAATAGAAACCCATCACAATTTTTTTTCCATCATATATCTATTTTTTTTAAAAAATATTAAATGGCCCTAATGATATATATTCATAGTTTTTAGGCATCATACTTAATTTTTATGGCATCAAAGGTAGCTTTCATTAAATTTATTTGAATATTTTGTTGATGAAAATATTAATGGCATGAATTGTGAAAGGAGTGGACCACTTTAGGACTACTTTTAAATGTTCTAGAAAGACTCAGACCAACACATGTGCATTATGTGGTGTTGGTCAAGAACCTAAGATTTTTATCTTTATTTTTTATTTTTTATTACTACTATTTTTGTAACCAAAGGTACAAACTAGTCATACCAACCACTTGATAAAGAATGAAGAATTGACACCGCAACCACGAGTTTTTTCTTCCGTTTATATCTTGGCATTGGTTAAGTAATCATGCAAGTCTTTGAAAGTCTAAGTCCAAACTTTACCGTGACAAGATTTTAAGGAATGTAGTATTTTTGTTTGGATGTTGGAACTTTGCTATCAAAACTACACATGCTTAAGGTGGGAGCAAATGGAGCTCTTATTTCTATCTAATCTTCATTATGGTTATTGGTACAGATTTGTTTCACATAAGATCCGACTCGAAGAGTGATGGCGTTGCGAGTTTGGATATAAGAAAATATTATAAAGGGAGCTTTGTCCCATATTAGATCTGAATGAGGGAATGATTAAGTATAAATAAGTGGATATGTAGAATTACCAAACAATTTAACCTTTTGGATAAATAAACAAGCATTCACCATTACAATTATCTTCTATAATGATAATATATATATATATATATATATATATATATATATATATATATATAATTGGTACTCGCAGTGAGTTGCCCACTTCAACAAATCCTTTTATAAAATTTTATATTATTTTCTATTTTTTGTTTTCTTAAATTTTATATTATGTTTTTAATTAATCCAAAATATATTTAAATATACTAAATCCCATTGTTACTAAATATATTAATTTTAAATAATAATTAATTATCCTTTTTGTTATGTAAAGTTAGTAATTGATTTTTTCTTCCTTACATAGTAATTATTGTATGCAAGTTATATATATATATATATATATATATATATATATATATATAACAAGTCCAATAGATATATTCTCAATAATTAATCAAGTAGGTTTAAAGAAAATAGAGGAGGGAAAAATAAATAAAGATAAAAATTATGAGTTAATTCTTTCGATCTACTCTTAAATCTCTCTTATTGGTTTAGGTTTAATAAATCTATACAGTTGGTTGAGGTTTAATAAGGAAATAAAGGTAAGGAAATAAAAAATTTGGGTATAATAATTTAAGGAAAAATAAAATTGTAGAAAGGTAACAATATAATTTTGGGGCCTCTCCACCTATTGGTTGAGAAGAAAATAAAAATTTTAAAGAAGTAAAAATACACAAGGAAATAAATTTTTTTGGGACCCTGTCCGTTCGGTTAGAAAATTCGTCATACCAACCCTACCCCTATCCTGGAATGAGTTTATAATTGATATACCATCCATGTCCCTACTCCGACAAACAAAATACTGACTTCGCCCTATGTACTCTGTTTAATTGCGGAGCAGGGCAGGTTATGCCATTTTTATTATTTAATTAAAAACAAAAACTACCCCAATGTGCTCAGGGCTGATAAATAATGATTAAACTTTTAAATCACTAAGGTTCGTTTGTTTGGACTTAAAATATTTTTCAACAAATATTTTTTTTATTTTTTGGTGTTTGATTGTTGTAAAATATTTATGAAGAAAAAAAATATTAAAATTTAACAAGAATAACTCATCCATCAATTTTCAGCAAGTTATTTTACATACTCGCCTGATGGACTCGATCTCAACCTCGACGTAGACCTTTACCAAATTCCGATAAAGTAAAAATAAAAGAATATTTTATCTGGAAAAAAAAAAAAATTTCAAAAAAAATATTTTACATCGAAACAAACGGAGCCTAAATAGTGAATATTAAAATATTAATTAACACTTCTAACAAAGTAATAAGGGTTTTAAAAATATTAAATATATTGATTTTTTTTAAAGGTATATATATAATCTGGGATGAGTTCATAACTAAATTCGCCCCCACCCCGTACCTGCTTGGAGTTTTTAATTATTTTACAATACCCATTCCAAATTCATTTAAGAGTTACCAAATTCATCCAAATCCATTTTGGAATCCTTGCTAATTAATCAATAATTTCAAATTTGTAAACTAAACACTGAAATTGCCCAAAAAGCAGAGAACGAATTGGAGAGAGAATTTAGCATATATAATTATTTAATGTACTGGGAAAATGAACAACTTCCAACCGAAAACTACCTACTACCCTCTCCACGCTACACCCTCCTCCTCTCTCTCTCTCCTCTCTCTCTCTCTCTCTCTCTCTTATTTGGGCGATTAATTTCATGACAGTAACCCAAGGAGTAAGCAAAAAGAAACAGTAAAAGCGTTTATGTTCACACATACACACACACACACACTTGTATATGTGTGTGTGTGTGTGTATATATATATATTATACAGAGAGAGACTCGTTCTACCAAACAAGACTTGTAAAGAACTCTCCGTCACGTTTCGTTACCTTCTCTTCCGTAGCTAACCCACCTCTCTCTCTCTCTTTCTATATATATTTATTACAAATTTCTTCGCTTCTTTTTCAATTTTCAGAAACCCTAGCTCTCCAGAAATTCCATTTGATTGTCAGGTGTGTATTGTTCAGTCATTTCTTTTTAAAATTTGTGCTCTGTTTGGTTCCGTATAAACCGGAGGAAATGGAAAGGAATTGAAACATTTATTGTTTAGTTCCTTAATAAAGCGAAGTAATTAGTTCAGAATTATGGTTACATATCTGATGAAAAATCGAATAGCAGAAAGTGTAGCATTTCTATTTTTTCCTTGGTTTCTTGGCAACCAAACAGAACATAGAAATTTTTGGTGGAGTAGATTAGAATTGTGGTGAAATAGTTCATGTGAGATTTTTGTGGAGTTCTTTTGTTGATTGATTTGATTTTTGTTGGTAATTGATTTGTTGAATATGTTGAATTTTTATTGAATTTCTTGTTCATTGGGAATTTTGGTAATTGATTGGTGAAGTTTGATTAAGCTGTCAATTCTGTTAATTTTTTACTTGTCTATAAATTCTATTTTTGTTGTATCACTCTGGAGGGTCTGTGGATGTTTTACATTGGATTTTCAAATTTGAGTCGAATTTGATGATAGCTTAAGTAATACTGCTCGGCTTACTTGGCGGAAGAAGAAAGGGACTTTCTCTGTTTGTGTCCTGAAAGTGTGTGATCTACACTTATAGGTGGTACGCTCGTTGGCATTGTCATTCTCAATCTTGTTCGTTGCCTATCTTTTGTATTGGCCTTACAATATGAGATTTTATAAGTTGCCATGTGATAGCCTTATATTGTGGGACAAAACGCAAGGTACTCGAGGATTGAGTGTAGCTGAAATGAGAATGTTGGGTGGATGAGATCCATGAATAGAAAGGATAAAAATTGAGACAAAAACTCATGAAATTTAGAGGTAATTGAGATGACAGGAAGTTTGTGAAGATAGATGATTGGTCAAGTACAATAGAATAGCTGCACCAATACGCAGTACATTGTTAAACTTTTCACATTTAAGGTGCTAAAAATATGAGGGAAGGCCAACGATACACGAGTTGGAGTATTTGAAAAACACAGGTGGCTTATGATTTGAAGATATGAGTTTTCCTGTTCTAAATAGCAGAATGCTGAGAAAGCTTTTGCCTTGATGACGTTAGATGTTATGATTGAGCTTTCTTGAGTTGAATTAAGCTTAGTATTGTTTGGTGGGATGGCGGAAACTCTCGATTTACTTAGTCTAGATATCATAGCTTTTCATTTATGATATATTGGTGAAATATATCTGTTCTTTTGTCTTTTATAGAATAATCATCCTCATGGAAGTGTTGGTAACCATGCATGAGAAGCCTTTGTTGCAGGATAGTTGTTGGAATGACCTGCTAATATATGTTCATAGTGGACTATCTTTTAATCAGAGTAGGTTTACTATTTTCCTTTTTTTTTTCTTTGATGACATTTATAGCTTGTAGCTGTCTCAATTACTATTGATTCTTTGTGTCCTTCTATCCTTAATCATAAGTAAAAAAAGGATTCAATAAGCAGCAACCTTTATATTGATGCATTTTGGATGTGGCCATGCAATAAAAGCCACAAATTTTGTGTTCCTTAAGTTTTTTGTTACGAGCTCAGTTGAACTTATTTCTAGAGCTTCTGCTGCTGAAATACCACCATTAACAGTTCCAATTTATTACCGACTATCAAATTCTAAGATATTTCCTGACTTAGGTGGTTTGATTTACTAGTTCCTTCTTTTGAGATCTGTGGTTCTAATTATTTTATATCTGTGAAATTGCAGAATGCTCTGTCATGGGTTTCAACTAATACCACATACATAGTTTAATTTATGCTTAATTGATCAGAATCTGTTTAGTTTCTCGTAAAAGGCCAAACAAACAATCTTAACTTTATCTTTTAGTTGCATGTGCTTGTGTTTTAGATGTTAAATTCTTAGAACTTTTTTCTTCTCACCCTGGAATCAGTTGGTTATATGATTGAAAAACAGTTCACTCTCGTTTCATGTGTGAATCCTTCAAGCACTTCTGTTGATCTAATACTAGCAACAAAGGCTCCAAGTGTTCATGGTGAAGCGCTCACTTTCTGTTGTCCACTTTTTTCCAGTTTGCCTTGTCGCATCCATTTCTACAATGTCAAGTTTGGAGGAGCCACTTGGTCTTGACAAATTACCAAGCCTGAGCACTATTGATGGGTTTCATAGGTTCTCGTCTAGTGCCTGCAGGCCCAGGGGAGAGGACACGGGAATGGGAAACTGCTGGATTGAAGGGAGAAACTGCAGCTCATCCAACAGTTGCAAGTAAGTGTATTGCGAGATGTATTTTTCTGGTTAAGAAACAAATATCTCCCCTCTACCCCATTAGACCATTATCAATTGTTATCAGAACTTATATTTTCTTATGTAGGTTCATAAATTTCAAAATCTTCTTTTTTATTTGTTCGATAGGTAAGACCGAAAGACACACAAGCACTCCACTTTCTCTTAATTGAAACTTGAACTCTCAACCTCCTCTTTGGGAGGTAAAGGAGATATCAGACAAGCAATTGCTTGGTTGTTCCAAATATTCCTCTTAAATATATATATATATATATTTTTTTTCCTAGTTGGTACTCACACACCCGCCCTCCAAGTAATTGTTTGCACCTAGTAGGAATCGATCCTAAGACTTGACGCTTCATGAGATCCTCTTAAGTATTTTTTGAATTTTATTCACAGGAAGAAGGTTCTTTTTTTATCGCTTACTCCTCTGTTTGTTTGTGTCCGCATTGCAAAGTTTAAGCATAAGTAGTTCTCATTGAGCTGTGAACATAATCATGTGGAACAATGTTATTTTTTAAATTTTGCTTAATGATTTATATTATTTAATGTGGTCCAACTCTCTAATGCTGGAAAGATATGATAGCTGGTTAGAGGAATGCCTTCAACATTTTTACAGCAAAGTACATACCAAAAAGAAGTATAACAAATCCCATTTTCCCACCAAAGTCAGTCATACGAGCTTTTACTTTCATTATAGTCAATTGGGATGTTATATAAGGAAAAAAAAAATGGGATGTTATATTGCATAAGATCAACCATGGTGGTTAACATGCACTATTCTTTCAAGGACGACATAGTAATCTTCTTTGCAAACTTATGATAGTGGTTTTGGTATTGCCTCTTAATTTTGTCCACATTTTTAATTCTGTTATTGTCTTATTTTGGTCGCTCAACTCAACAAAGCATTATCTCAAGTATTATATGTTGGTCTTCATAATGCTTCTTTACCAAAAGAATTTATCTAGATTAACCATCTCAGCCGACCTTGTTTGTTGTTACAAAACATCAGATGCAATTCATTTAAGGTAGGTTTCTTTGCTTATTCGCAGTTTACTCTTAGCCGTCTGTGCTCCACATTTTGAGTGAATAAAAAACTGTATGACTATGAATGTATGGGAAGCGAAATTCATGCATCAAATAATAAAATGCAAACAGGTTACTTTAAATCATTGGTTTTCTTTTTGGTTTTGTTAAATTGGCATGAAAGACAAAAAAATTTCCGAGTCAGAATTGGAGTCATAACTTCTTACATTCAAAGGTATGCTTCTGCAAATCTTTAGTACATGGTACTCTAAAGATTGTACTTGCGTAGGACGCTTTTCTATTAAATGACTTTAAATGGGAAAAAAAAAAAAAAAAAAAAAAAAAAATCATTTTGTCTTCAGTGAGGATGTGTATTTAGTGGCAACATTATTGATCATTAATAAGTATAGTTTTTAGTGTCTGTTCCCTTCTTTGAATATATACTTCTCAATACTGGAATAGGAAGAAAGATGAAGGGTGAGGAAGGAAAAAAAAAAAAAAAGAAGAGGCAATTGAGATGTTTTCTTTTCATTTCTCCATCTTTTTTTTTTTTTTTTTGGTCTCTTTATCTGGTCAGAAATATAGCACCCAAACATTTAGAAGATTAAAATCATAAAAGATTCTATATCTTTCCTGTGATTTTCTCGAAGTCAAAATGATATAAAGATTTTTTTGGTAAACAAGAAGTCTCAATGATATATACAATCAATTTTATCAAGTGACAGAGGTATAGTTTAAGTATATTTCAGTCAATATAATATTAGTTCTAGATGTTTTTTCAAAAAATTTAAATAAAGTTGCTAGTCTTTTTAATTTTGCAGTGAAGATTTTGACTTCACCCGTCGAAGACAAGCGAGAGACAGGATTAATGCAGTCTATGGAAGTGTGCGTGATTCATGGTATTTGTCGGATCAACAATATAACTCCTACTGCAATGACAAGAGGATACGGGACGTAACAGATAAGGTGATTCATGTAATAAATAGAGGAGTTTTTTCTTTTTTTTTTCTTTTTTTTTTTTTTTTTCCCCACTTATATCTTTAAATTGCAAGATTGCTGTTTTCTTCTTCTTCTTCTTGAGGGTTAGGACCCTAACCGTAGGCTTAGTCGGTAAGCCCCGACCATACCCAGGGGGTGGGGGGTTGGGGGAATAAGTCCTAAAACAAAAATAACTACTTTAACTAAATTCAAATCATAACAAACTAAGAAGTGAAAAAACAGGCATAGTGCAGAACAAAAATACCAATTTTTACATGGAAAATTCCATAGGAAAAAATTATGTACTTAGTCCAGATAGATTAAATCCACTAGATACGAAAGATGTACAACCCTAGGTATCAGATTCTAAACCTTAGAATCACCTAAAGTACATCTGACCCAGACTCATGCCAGACGGTCCTGAACTCTGTTGTTGACACTCAACCGTCAACAAATCCGATCCTTCTGTGATCTTCTATCCAATTCATTCCTTGATCGCCTTGGTAGTCATCTGATTATTATAGGTTGTGTGGAATTTTCTGTGTGTTGGACTCCTTGGAACTCTAGGATTGTATGTGATCAACATTCAATAACACTTGCCATATCTATGATGCGATGATGTATAAAAGAAACTAAAGTCTAGCAATTTGATTCCTAGGGCGTTCTAGAATGCCTCACAATGCTTTATGATGCTCAATGTATGCTTTCTTATATTTCTCAAAGAATAGGGTCCTTAATATCGGAGATTAAGGCTGGAATAATTAGGTTTTAGAGTTTGAGTTCCTTTTGGAAACTGCCATTCTGCATTCAATCTATTGTGGCACTTGATCGAACCAACTCCAGTGGGGTATTATTGATCCTTAAATCAATCGAACTCCCTTACTGGTATACGTAGCTTTTCTTATTAAAAAAAAAGTTCTATACATTCCAAAAACATAAATTTAAGATTACGACATGTAAAACCCAAACCCTGACTTGATTAAGGATAAACATGCATGAATATGAACCCTAATTTGGTGAGGGCACAAATTGAAAGTTGAATTTATCTTTATACCCCCTTGTTGACTCTCTAGAAATCTCTTGTATGCCTTTAATTAGGGGTAACTCAACAAACTTTTGAAAATTAAACAAAGCTAAAAATCAAAATTACAAAATCTTGTTCTGGATGAAAGTTGCCAACTAAGTCCTATTAACTTCACAGAATCAATAGTTATATAGTCCATTCGTACCATTGTCTATGTTATATTTGTTGTTTTAGTTTCTATGCAGCTTAATATATATATATATATATATATATGTTGTATGTATGTATTATTGCTTTATTCCCTTTATTCATATTAGGGTTTCTGTATCTGATTTGTTATTTGAACATGGCAGATCTTTAAAGGAATACCAAAGTATGTGAAGATAGTGGAAGTCGGTCCAAGGGATGGGTTACAAAATGAGAAGAATATTGTACCTACGGCCGTGAAGGTAGAATTGATTCATAGGCTAGTTTCTTCTGGATTATCTGTTGTTGAGGCTACGAGTTTTGTCTCCCCGAAATGGGTACCTCAGGTAACTCTGCCTTCTATTTATATTTTATGTTGATGTGCACCCTTTTTTTTTTTTTTAATCATTATTACTTCAAAGCTATACTTATCGTTTTGGTGCTTCCTACGTTTGATGTGGTTGGGAATCTTTCACGCACGTCTCCATACTTTATTGGTGGATTTATGTGCTATTCCCTGGGTAATGTGTAAATCTCCATGGGGTATGGTAGTTTATAATGGGATATAATTTTGAAAAACAAGTCCAATACAAGCATTTGGTAGTGATGCTGAGAAAACTGATGCAGTTCATTTGTGTTATTTTATAGTGAGGGTTCTGTTGGCATGATTTGATGAATTGTTACCAAAAGAATTAAAGGGTGCTACAGCACAGACTGATCACAGAAAACAATAAGAGTACCATCATGGAAAGAATATAGTTTATCTTGCTTATATAAATTATGGCGAATCAACGGAAAAATATAATAAGGCATTACCAGGTATATAGGCTGCTGGAGGGAAAGGCTATGGACATTTTATCAATTACATTTCTCCCAGATATCATAGACAAAGAGTTTGTTGATTGTAAATTTGTCTAGGTTCCTGGCAGAGTTTTTGACTAAGTGTTCAAGGAGATGCTTGACAAAAGTTACTTGTTTCTGGCTGCAAGTATCCTCTAACGGGCAATATATTCAAGTAAGAAAGTATGGAAATTATTTGCTTCATATGCCTTTTTCTTGATAAATGGGGGAAAGCTGCATTGGATTAGAGAGGAAGGCATTCAAAGTAGAAAAAGGAAGTAAGCAAAATCAAAGTTGTGAATCCTATTCATGCTGCTATATTTGATAGAGAATTAAATCTATTATACGTTATCAGATAATTGTTAACAATATGCATCTTTCCCACATGAAATCTGTTGAACAAACTCTTGAAAAGATTCTTGATATCGAACTTAATGTTCGTTGTAGCCGTCAGACGGTACATGCACTACAAATAGTCATGACCTTCTTGAAGATGAATGATGAATCAATCTTTGGCCGCAGGCGATTGATCAATTGCACCTTTTTTTATTAACTCGGATTTCATCCCAACTTGCATCAACTTCATTATATTATAATATTATCACCGCAAGCCAATTGTCAATCCATTACCAGCAAGCTCATATATAGATATGCATGGTAAAAGGGCAAATAAATCATGATTCTATCTCCTATTAAGTAACTCCGGCAACAACAAGAATGGAGCTATTTGCAAGTGCCAGGTGATCCCAAGGAAACCCTAGAGAGTGAAAACTCAAAAAAAGCAGTAGGAACTGGAGTGACCATATCGTATCAGTGTCCAATACCAAAGGGCGTACCGCATACCAGCAATAGTCTTTTGGTTAATGAACCATTTTCTTATTGATTTTGTTGGGTGATAAGGTTATTCTACTTGTTTGTTACTGTCCTTCAACAACAGAACTTCTATACGTTTTTTTTTTGAGTAACGGAGAATCAACCACCCACTAGCCACTTTGGACTCTCAGATGGTTTGCAAACTCTGAATGCACGCAATCACCCACAAACCCCGTGCATCATTTAAAACCAGGCATCACCTTTGGTGAGACTTGAACCAGAGATCTATGGGGAGTACCCCTAAAGGCCTTAACAGCCGAGCTGCCTTTGTGGTTGCTCTATTTTCTGAAAAGCAGAATAACAGTTGTAGCTATAGTGGCATTCTGGCTACCCCCAGCATCTGCGTGTTGAGTGTGTGAGTGGAGTGAAGGGAAGGGGCATTGGATCTTTGTAGATTTATACACTTGTTGTCTCTTATGCTTCATCATTTTAATTGGTAAACTATCCCATGACTATTTCTTGAAAATTGAAGATCTCTGTTTGTCCTTCTGAACAATCTCATTTTTTTTTATTTGATGGTGTTTCTTTGTATATAAAATTGATACAAACATATTCCTGTTTTAAGTGAAAATAACCTGCTTCTATAAATTTCTTACCTGCTTCTATAAATTTCTTACTTTTTTTTTTTTTCTCTCTCTCTAAATAGCTGGCAGATGCGAAGGATGTAATGGAAGCAGTTAGGAATGTGGAAGGTGCTAGATTGCCTGTTTTGACACCTAATTTAAGAGTGGGTGATCTTGTCTGAGAAAATCAGTTCAGACAGTGCGATATTTGTCTGAAGGAATTTTTCTAATTTGTTGTATAAATCACTCTTAGGGCTTTGAAGCAGCTGTTGCAGCTGGGGCAAAGGAAGTAGCCATTTTTGCATCAGCTTCCGAGTCCTTTTCAAAGTCGAACATTAATTGTAGCATTGAAGAGAGTCTTACTCGCTATCGTGTTGTTGCACATGCTGCTAAAAAGCTCTCTATTCCTGTTCGTGGGTATGTTTGGTTATCCCTTTCCATTGTATCTCTCTCTCTACCTACCTACCTGGGAAATACCATCATTATTATGATTCTTAATAATCAAAATGTAAGTTTTATTTACTACATAAAGCAATGCAAATGAGAAACCTACATAAATTGGTTGAACTGAATTTCAGTCTTGCATGGAACATGGTTATTGAAGTCTTGCAAGATTAGTATGTTCTGTATTTTCCTGGTGCTTGGATTATACATGCTTTCTGAGACATGCTTCTGAAATTTCAGCAATATCTAGTTGAAGCCCTGATTTTTTTCTTCTAGGTTCTTGATTACCAATTAAAACTTGTTCTGATGTTTGAGCATGTCAGTTACTGGTGTTATTTTAATGAATTTGCCTTCGACTAATTCCTACAATCTATACAAACCTACACTTTTCTATCTCTTCTGTGCATGTTCCTATCATGTTCTGTGTATAGCATGAACTGGTTCTGACGCATTCACTAGTGTGCCATGAATGTTTATATTTTCCTTGCAATATTTTACTGAAACTAGAGTTAAAAAGTCAGGTATTATTTTAACTACTTTATTTAATAATTTTAGTTTTGTTGCATTGCTTTGCTAACGAATTCCTCTGTTCCGCATGTTTAAACTTTAAAACCATTTAAATTCAGATGGTCTGTTAATGCATAAAACTTTCTCTCTCTCAGAGAATAATTCCTGTGGGGAATAATCTGTTTATAAATCATAATTTAATTTTTCAGAATAATTAAAGAAATTAATGTCTGAACTCATTACCTTTTTTTAAGTTGACGAGAGAATAATTGATGAATTCTAAATTGATTTGTCAAATAAAGCAAGCCATTTATTGCGCAGTTTCCATACCCTTTTTCAATTTTAGAAACAGAGAAAACCATTATCTCTTTAGTTGTATTTACATTTAAATGCTTCCATTGAAAAGAGACAGCATCTTTATTATTTAAAGCTGGTACTGAAATGAAGAAATTTGGACTCATATTTTCCATAGGTACGTATCATGCGTGGTTGGGTGCCCAGTGGAAGGAGCAATTCCTCCTTCGAAAGTGGCTTATGTGGCAAAAGAACTTCATGATATGGGTTGCTTTGAAATCTCACTTGGTGATACAATAGGGGTCGCAACACCTGGTAATTCTCTAGGCCACATGTTTATTAAATTCTGCTACATGAATTTTTTTGGCTTAAATAACAATTTGAGTTTTAATTTCTCTCCATGTGCTCCTGCAATACACTTCTATTGAACAAAAGTTTGATGCAATGCTGTTGTGTGCTGTCTATAATTGATGACTCCCCCAATATATCACTTCCATCGGACTATTGAAAGCCAGCCATTATGTCCATCTGATTATATGAAAGTCATATCAATTTTTTTTTTTCAAATACTAATATTGTCCCCATACTAAATTTTAGTTTGTAACTGATGAACAATGCGTGATATGTATTTATATACTCACTTCTTTCTCTTTGAGTCAGTTTCCACGAATTTTTTTCGGGAGTCTGCTGCCATTAGAATTATTCAAGTGTTAACGGCACTTGATGTTGTATTTCTCTGTTAGGCTCACCTAGTTACTCATTACTCCACAAGGGACTTAAATATCCAACCAACTACTGTTTCCATCAATGAAATGCACCTCTTAAGAAGGTTGGATACTTATATGGACACAAGGCGAATACATGACAATAAGATAATCACTCGTGTCTGATATGAGATATATGTATGCCTGTGTTTGTCTATGTATGTAGATATGCATATGCATGTGTAGATATAACTCGATGATTTTCTCCTACTCAATGATTACTCCTTCAGTAAGACTTTCTTATGTCTTTTATTTTTCAAATATGGTCAAACATTATATAAGTTATATGCAAACCTTTAATTTGATTTTCTTTACAATTATACATTTCTCCGGTGCTAAAAGAAAATATTATTCAAAGTTCATTGATTGCATGTTAGCACATGTTCAAAACGTATAGTCATGTGTCCGAAAATAATACTTTTCTTCTAATTATAGACATGACCAATATGTGCCAGACGTATATATGAGAATTGCTGATGTATCATGTATTACATGTATCCGACATAGATGTGGCTTCTTCTTAGAAGCATCGGTGCTTAATACTAAATGCCCCCCTTCCCCCCAAGGCAGATCATTTGGAGTTGATTTACCCTTGAGACGAGGGAAATTTTAGACACTGCCACATTTAATGTATATTTTTGTGAGCTATCACGTCTCTGCATGTCATGATAATATTGGCACCTATTCTCTTCTTTAGTTCTTCTTTTTCCCTCTTAATATATGCATCATACCTATTTTTTTGCTTCACTCATAGGACGGAGAAATTTTAAAAATATTGATTTGTGCATTGAACTATTTGTTTTCTATTCTAGTTGGATGCGTATCTTGGTTTTTCAAAGTTTTGGCATACACCATTGTTTTCCTACCCTTTTTAATTTTTCTTTGACACAGGTACTGTTCTTCCTATGCTGGAGGCTGTAATGGCCGTTGTCCCTGTAGAGAAGCTTGCTGTCCACTTCCATGACACTTATGGGCAATCTCTTCCAAACATTTTAGCATCTCTCCAGGTAATCCACTTCTCCTTGAAATTATGTGTGTGTGTTTCATCAAGCTAAAGTTGTTCATGCTAACTAGGAAAAAATAAATAAATTTGTTCATGCTGATATGCATGCCTTCAATGTGAATACTTCTCAAGACTGCATGTAATGCACCCCTTGCTCATGCACAAGTTGTTAACCGCACGGGTGGCCTAGTGTATAAAGGGTTTCCTGGGCGAACCATAAACTCGGACATCTTGCCCTTGGCATCTCTCATCAAATTAGTGTTTTTATTTTTTTATTTTTAATAAACTCGGATGTCCTGCACTTGGCACCTCTCATCAAATTAGTTTTTTTAAATAAACTCGGACGTCCTGCACTTAGCATCTCATGTCCCTTTCCATTTGCAATTTTTGATGAACAGATGGGGATCAGCACGGTGGATTCCTCCGTTGCAGGTCTAGGAGGGTGTCCATACGCGAAAGGAGCTTCAGGGAATGTGGCCACCGAGGATGTCGTATACATGCTTCATGGACTTGGTGTGAAGACCAATGTTGATCTAGGGAAACTCTTGTCAGCTGGGGAGTTCATCAGTAAACATTTGGGCCGCCAATCGGGTTCGAAAACAGCAATTGCCTTGAGCCGAGTTAGAGCTGATTCCTCTAAGATATAGTAACTCCCAGTTAATTAGATCATATATTATTTATAACCAAGAGAGGTGTTGAATTCTTGTGTACCAAATTTTTATTGTGGAAGCCTTATACTGCTTCCCCTCCTATATAATAAGCATATACATGAATAAAAGGAACTGGGATGTATAGTTCCAATTTTAGAGAACAAAGATAGGATTCATTGCATAGCGAGGGATGTGAGAATGGGAATAGGGTGAGCTGAACAACGTAAATATATATAGTAATTAAACCAAATGTCACGAAAATACATTGTTTAATTCAAAAATAGTAATTATTGAAGTCAATCAATATAGCTGATAATATGTTGAGTAGTGATACTTGCAGTGAATTGTTTAACCTAATAAGTTTTAATTGACTATTTATGCTAAATACAATCAAGTGGAAGGCTCTACTTCCTTATTTGTTGCATAGTTAATCAATAAAAATAACTATTCGGTTCAAGAATTTTTTTCTTAATATGATAGGTTTTTTTTTTTTTTTTTTTTTTTTTTTTTTTCAAATAATTGAGATTTTCAATTCAAAGTACTTTTAGTGGAAATCATTAATTATCCGGAAAATTCTCAAAAATCTGATGTCTTGTTCTGTGCTCTTGTTTTACTGTGATCAAACCAATAGCCACTAAAATTAAAAACATAAAAACATCTATATATATATATAATGATGATAATAATAATATTAATTATCAACTTACCCTTGCAAATTGGATTTGATACATGAGGCTTGAAATATTGCTAGCAATTCGGTCATTTTGTTAGCAATCTTGATGGCCACAATTAGAGCATCCGGTATGGTACATGTTGTTTCGCTTGCTAGTGTACTTTCTCTGAGAGCCACATCTGGCGAATTTGGCTCTTTATAAATATTAAGATATTTTTTGAATGGTATGATAGTAAAAGATATGACCATCTATATATATATATGGGACTTGTCATTTTAAAAAAACAAGGAAAAAAAAATGGAATGGGACCTACACACCATTGCTATTAGACTAGCCACGATAGAATACCTGCCAAACATTTTTTTTGTGGGGCCCACCATAGCTTCGTCATACCGGATCACCTTAGCAGCTTGGTAGCTAGCCCAAAGCAATCCCAGATAAAAACTAACAGCTACACCTTAGCAGCTTGGTAGCTAGCCCAAAGCAATCCCAGATAAAAACTAACAGCTATTTCCTTGATTTTTTTTCCCCCTTTTTTATATATAATTTATATTTATTTCTGAAAAATATGTATAATTTTCTTTCTTTTATTTTTTCTTTTTATTTCTGAAAAATTATGTAAGACTTTTAAATATGCTTTTAAACAAATCAATAATTAATTAAATGTATTTTAAAAAAATACTCAAAATATTAAATAAATAAATAAAAAATAAAAATTGACTAGCCAAGTCAGCACCATGCTCATAATTTACTATATTTGTTAAGAGAGAAGGAAAGAGAAAGTTTTAAAATATTTAAAATATTGTAATTTATAGAGAATAGTAGTATAATTTAAAATTTGTATAATTTACAATTATATTAAATTTAAAACTTCTATAATAGTCCCCCTGTCTTCCCTCATTTCTTCCGCCCATTTTTAATTTGATGAAAATAACCATTTGTTGGGTGGGGTTCAAAGTACTTTTCACCCCGTCAATGAGGAGATTCATAACAAAATATTTGATCTGGGTTAAAAGAGTCCAACGTCTTGCTAGAGACGTTAAAGACTAGTGAATTCGTAGGATTTATAACCCTATTCCTCTCTCATTTCTATTTTACCTTTCATTTCTTGTTTCGTCTAGATATATTTTGGATTTATACACATGGTTAGGAATTGTGATTGACACTTTATAAAAACTTGCGGCAATGCGGGTACAAACGGAGATTTTTTTTTCAAGCAATTCGTTTGTTCCCTCAAAGGGAATGCATTTGATTGGTACACAGACCTCAACCACACATTGTCGCCACTACCATCACTATTGTCACCGCACCACTACCACCACTATTGTCACCGCCTTCCACCACTACCACCACCTCTATCACCATCGACACCACCGCCACCGCCTTCTATTACCTCCACCGCCACTGCCTTCTATTACCTCCACTACCTTCCACCACCACCACTACCGCTGCCGTGGAATTCCACTAACTACTAGCCTTCAATGTTTTTACATATTTTTATTCATCATAGCAGCTTTTATGTGTTGTTCAGGTTCGTATAACTTAATTTATTCTCATCGTATAATTTTTCTAATACCTTATAAATCATATGCACATTGGGGTATGCAAAGATCTCATTACATTTGTGTTCTGTTCTATAAATATAAAGTAGTGAAGTCTCATTGCATCACAGGTCAAAACAAGAGAATTTAAAGATTCAAACTTTCACTATACATCCAAAATGAAATCTAGAGGTATTTTTTTTTTTTTTTTTTTTTTTTTTTTTAAGTATTTGAGTATTTTGCGGAGAGGGAAAAAAAATCCATTAAATTGCCCCTCTTTCCTATCAAATTGCCTTTGAAAGGCGCATGCCTTGAATTCGTATTTCATCGACCCACTCCTCTCCGAAATACCTCAATGGAGATTATAGTTCATCGACCTTTTCCTCTCTTGTATTCTTCAATGCATTTCCGTTGTTCATTGCACCATTTGCAATAGAATGCAACTCCTAGAAAAAGAACATCGCCTTCATGTAACTTAAACGCCCGTCACCTCTTATCTTTATCTTTTCAATTGAGGAATATGCATACGATTAGGGACGGAGGCACATTAGAGTCAGTGGGGGCAATTTTGATTTTCTTTTTTCTTTTTTTCTTTTTTTTTTCATACAAGTTTTTTTATTTTCAATTATATACCTATAAAAGTGACCCCACCACCCCCCCCAAAAAAAAAAAAATTACACTAAAATCTTAGTCATTCCTTTTGTATTATTATTTTTTTTTTTATAAGTATTTCATTTCTCTTCAAAATCTTTGTTCTAATTGTAACACAACTAATTGATTTTTAAAACATTACCTCATGGACTATGTTAATGCATCATCAACTACATGTTTATGTACATACTTATAACTTTTTCTTTACAGCAGTAACAGAATAGTCAAACTTATACATTCTTTTTCTTTTAATTTTATTTGACCAAATTGAACTATTATTTGACCAAATTGAACTATTATTTGACTCATTTGATTTTATTTATCCTACTTTGAGCCGATTTTTCTTATGGTGAACTCTTTAATATTGATTATGGAATTTGCATATTATTTTTTTCCTCAAAATATATTAATTTGAAAGAGAATTTACAACAATGGTCAAAAAGTTAACCTCATAATAATATTACTTTTATATATTGAAATTCAATATATAATATTGCATTTAAAAACTCGGAATCGAGGCCTTAAAATTAGAATAAAAGGGAATTTACCCACTTCAAAATTCAAATTAAATTACCTCAAATTCCAATCCGGAACTCTAATTCAGTGTTCAATAACAACTTACTTTTGTTAAAAAATGATAAATAAAAATAAAATAAAATAAAATAAAAAAGGAAAGAAGTTTCTCATCAAATATTGCCAAGTTATAATGGGTCACATCTGATGTGGCAACTTTTGAAGAAGAGGACTACGAAATTGGACCAGATAGAACACTATTTCGTATCAACTTTTAAAGTTTCAAAATGTTCATTTTAGGGCAGTCAAATTGTAGTTACTAAAGAATTTGACTAAACTGCCCTTACAGCCTTTTATGGTGCCGTAAAGGTGGTGTTTTTATATATATCAATGGAAGAGTTTTTGCTCCTCCTCTCTTTGATCAATTCACCACCTATACTACACGTTAAGATCTTTGTTTCATTATTAATTATTTCGATTTTCTGTGCGTTAAGACTTCCTTTATTAATATATACTGGCTAGTTGTGTTGAAGCAATCATTGATGCCCCGAGTATTATTGGGCACAAATCATTTGGACTTAAAACCATATACATGATTCGCGAGCTTTGAATATATATATAATACATATATTTACGATCCACTTCACAGTAAGAGTGTACTTGATAGTTTTTTTTTTGTTGTTCCGAACAATATTTCTAAACAAAAGTCAAAATTTCTTAATAAAACAGGAGCCATTGTATAGTGACGGATGCTAGAGATATTATTGTCATCAATATATCAATTTCACAATAAATCCATCTCGTTCACTTGCTATTATCTTTCCAGTTGCACCAAAGTCTTTACAATTGTCATGTCTTGATTAGATATTAGACATGACTGTTTTGTAGAAAGTCATTGTGTATGATTTGGACAAAATACTTTCATAATTCAATTTCAAGTTTCAAAGTATATGGTCTTTGATTTGCATAAATGAAAGGACCACCCCTCCTTTGTCATGTTCTTCATTCTAGAACTGCATACTCTATAAGTTAATTACTTGAAATATTTATTTTATTTCAACGTTAAATTTAAGTTTTAATTATAATTTCTTCATTTGAAATTTCAATTTGTGGAGCAAGTAAATATGAAATGATGATACAAGTGTGTGATAAGTTCTATCACTTCACTGACTAAGCAAACAAATAATGTCGAAATTATACCAGATAGGACATCTGATGTGCCAACTTAAAATTGTCCATTTCAATTATGCGTGTGTTCCAGGAAAAATAAAAATAAAATTGTGTGGGTGAACAATTCATCAATTAGTTCTGTGAAAAAAAGTATAACATATGTAGAAGACCATTCTTATTAACATTGTTGATATATGAAAACCGCGAATAATACCAGAAGTTGTAGCTGTTCAAAGTGTTTTAATAAAATTTGTGAAATTTCTCAGGGCTTCTTCCTTGCTTCTTGCTTCCTGTTTTCAAAACATGTAAGGCTGCATCCTGTGAGCAAATTAATTGCCACTAAAATTAAAAACAAAACATCATTGATTAAAATTTGAAAAATATCTATAGGGATGATAATAATAATAGCATTAGTTACCCATGCAAATTGAATTTGATTAGAATTAAGGGTTCATGGCTCTTTCTCAATTAATAACTCCCTCTCATTTTCAGCTAGTGATTCAATTGATGAGTACTCAGTGTCACTTTCAACCATTGATTCACTTGAGAAGGGAGAGATATATAGAACAAAGATACAGAAAACCGACAAAAGGTAGTCTAAGATATATTTATACTT